TCGGTGAATCTAGCCATTCAAAGTGGATGTAGGTCGTATTGACCGAACCACTATAAATCTTGTTTTTTCCCTCCATCTACTTATTGCATTTTATGTTACATTACTTAACTAGTGGTGTGCAAACTAATTTGTGCATCATCAGTTTGACGTCGTTTGTGGAAACGACAAAATTCTCACTTCTAAACACTTCATTTGCTGAACCAATGACGATTACGACAAGATTCATGAATTAGCTTGAAGATAACCCACTATCAATAGAGGAGGAGTTTGCTCCTCAACCAACCAATCCTGCCCCAAATGCGTAGTAGATGCTCGAGACCATGTAACAACTTGCGGCCCAGAACCAACAGATCTTGCAGTTGATGCTCACTGGGCAAGGAGGAACACATCTTCGAGGAGCTCCACGCCTTGGGCGTCAAGGAGCTCCCCACATGGGTGCTCCTCATCTGAGCGCCCCCTTTGGAGCCCCACCCTTGGGAGCTCCACTAGGCGCCCAACACAGGAGAGCTCCCCACGAGGGACTTCCATCTCCTCCTCCAGCCCCCCTTCTCATGGTAGAGACCTTCTATTTCAAGAGGACAAGGGTGAGAACCAGAGCATGGAGCATGGAAGTCATTTCCAAGATAATTCCAAAGAAGCTCTCAACCACTAGGACGAAAAAATAAAAGAGGTGCAAAATCAACTGGGCGAAATCTTCAACACTATGAGGGCACAAGGACCTGAGACAGGCCTTGTTAGGCAAACCGACACACCCTTCGTACCCGACGTGGCGAACTATCCGCTTCCCCAGAAGTTCAAAATGCCATCCGTTGAAACCTTTGATGATACGAAGGAACCACTTGATCACCTCGAAACCTACAAAATTCTAATGCAGTTGTACAATGTCCCCCATGAGATCATGTGTAGGGCGTTCCCAATTACCTTGAAGGGATCCGCCTGACAATGGTTCGTCAAGTTCTCCCCAGCTTCCATTGCCTCCTTTGCTGAGTTGAGCAAGTCTTTCGTGTCACACTTTATCGGAAGGCACCGCCACCAAAAGCCTGTCACCCACCTGCTCAGCATAAAGTAGGACCGATACGAGAGCCTAAGGAGCTACCTTACTCGTTTTAATGAGGAGGTCCTCCAGGTTGAGGAGCCCGATAACAAAGTAACTATGAGAGCCTTCTTGGGAGGCCTCTGCTCGTCAAGCCTCATCTTCTCAATGATGAAACGACCATGAAAGAGCATGCTAGAACTATTGGCAAAAGTTCAAAAATATATGAATACTAAGAAAATCAACAAGTCTAAGCGAGGTGAATTATCTCACGGATCGCCAAAAGCTTAACCTCTGCACTGTTCTCAAACAGGTAGCCTACATCTCCAACTTAGCGGCTCTCTCGCGAGTCGCCAAAAGCTCGGCTTTTACACTGTTCTCAAACAGGTAGTCTACATCTCCAACTTAGCGGCTCTCTCACGGGTCGCCAAAAACTCGGCCTCTACATTGTTCTCAAATAGGTAGCCTACATCTCCAGCTTAGTGGCTCTCCTGCGGGTCGCCAAAAGCTCGGCATCTGCACTGTTCTTAAACAAACAGCCTTTATGTCCAGCTTAGTGGCTCTCTTGCAGGTCGCCCAAAAGCTTGGCCTCGACACTGTTCTCAAATAGGCAGTCTATATCTCAAGTTTAAGGACTCTCTCATGGGTCGCCAAAAGCTCGATCTCAAAAGGTGAAGCTCTCTCACGAGCAGTCCTCAAACTCTGTCTTTGCTCTTACGCAAGCAACCTACCTCTCTCTCTCTCTCTCCAAGTAGTTATGTTAGATATTTTAAATGTTTGGAATAACATTGTTTTTGCCATCTCTAGCCAGACTCTTGAAACTCAAGTCGTCTGTAACCCAAATGACTACTTTAAATTGAATATCAACAATCGAGCCTCATTTTTTTGTGTCCATGCGGCACTGCCACCTAGTTGCCGCAGCACCCTTGCACTTAACACCTAGCCCAAACAAGCTCTGCCTCCCTGGACTTGTCCCCAAACAACACTCCTCCATTACGATCAGCAAAATCGCCCTTCTAGCAGCGCCCATCACAGGCGCCCAAGCCCATGGTCTTTCCAGCAAGGCTAAACACTATAGGCACTACTCCATCGCCCAACACCAGTAGAGCCTCTTAGCGATAGTTTCTCGAGCCACTACAAGGGAGGTTTGAGAAATCTGAGAAGCTCCATTTGAAGGAGCCAGATCATCTGCCACATTCCCGGAGTTGTCACCGCCAAAAGTACCCATGACAAATTGGGTCTCAACCAATGGCGGAGAAGTTTCAGCAATTTGGCCTGCTCACCTGGACAGCTTACCTTTCGCCTAGATTGCTCGCCCAATCAAGCTCGCCACAGCCTGGGCACCCAACTCAGCCTTTGCATGCCTGTCTCTACGAATCTGCATGCCAAAACTGCTCGAATCAACGCCTAAGGCTAGGTGCCCAACTGTAGCCACCTTCACGCGGACATCGAGCTCACCTAGACTGCCCAGTTCAGCGTCTAAAGTGGCGCCTAGATCGTTCCCTGTACGCCCAATGGGCATGCCAGCATGCGTGAAGACTGGAGTAGCCCCCTCACCCACTGTGCGGACTGTAGCAACGCACAATGCCGTTTGCTTGCCTAAGCCCTTTTCAGCGCCTGCCTGCCTGCCCATCTCCATGCCAGACCACCCCTCCTACGCAAGCAGATTGCTCCTCAAGACTACCTGGAGTGGTGCCTAGGTAATTCTCCAGCTAGGCCAAGGCCTCCTACGCTAGTAGGCTGCTCCTCAAGACTACCTGGAGTGGCGCCTAGGCAATTCCCCAGCTCGCCCAAGGCCTCCTATGCGAGTAGGCTGCTCCTCAAGATTATTTAGAGTGGCGCCTAGATAATTCCCCAACTCGCCCAATGCCTCATGCTCGCCCAAGCTCCTTAAGTGAGTACCCTAAGAGGCGCCCAAGGACTCTTGCTAGCCCAAAATAGCATGCCCAACTGCATGGTCGCCCAGAGCAGTGCCTGCTCGCCCAAAATCGAGCTCAGTGCGTCTGCTCGCTATTTTGACTGTAAATTTTGTTCTGTAACTCAAAATGGGACATATTATATACCAAATCAAAGCTCTTGACGAGCTGAGCAAAACTCATTACTTTTAGTAATGAGATTTTCAAAAAAAGTCCAAAAACGCCCAAAAAAAGGTGTTTTGGCCTCCTGAAGTTTTCAAAAAAAAAAAAAAAAATTTTGCTGCTAGCCCAGGACGCTGTTAGCATGCCCAGGATGCTGCCTGTTAGCCTAGAAGCTCTCTGCTCGCCCAAAAATGCGCGCTCAACTCTCTGCTCACTATTTTGACCATAAATTCTGCTTCGTAACTCTAAACAGGGGCTTATTATATATCAAATCGAAGCTCTCGGCGAGCCCTACAAGAATTATGGCCTATGGTTGTTATTGATGGTGTAAAAAGTTCAACCAAGGCCTATCAACAGATGTTTTAGCCTCCCAAAGTTTTTTCTAATTAAGCCTGTCAGCGAAAAATTCAAATTCAACATAAATGCCCTCCTTTCCAAGTTCTGTTGGACACAGGGCATTAGAGGGCAAATGATGGGCCAGGCCCAAGGGCCCAACCCATGTTATAAGTCTAGTTTGAGCTAAAGGCCCAAAATCAAGAGATCCAGCTAGTCAAGCCTAAAAGAGTTTACACCCCGAATAACTTTATCAAGATCAAGGAGCTATATCAGTAGGGGAGCATGCATGGTCATCCAAGAGCCTCCTCTACCACCTTGGAGTAAGGGTCATCTAAGAGCCTCTTTTACCACCTTGGAGTAAGGGTTATCCAAGAGTCTCCTCTACGCCATCAAGGGAGCATCTAGGAGCCTCACCCTCACCACCAAGGGAGCATCCATGAGTCTCACCCTTGCAGGTTGGAGAGTGTCAACCTCCCTTATCCTTGACCAAGTCCTTTGGAGAGCACACCAACCGTCACACCTCGCCCGTTGAGAAAATGATAGGTTGTCTCCGCTGGATCAGCTACCTAATTACTATCAAACGGTCCTAAGCCATAATGACCGTCAGACGAGTCATACAATTACTATGCCAAACCACTATAAATTGTAAGCTCTTCCAACACTTGGGGGGCATCAGATTCATTTGAGCATAATTCTCTCCTCCCTCTCAAAACTTGTAATCATGTGTTCTCCCTCTACACCGAAGATAATAAAATTCCGGTGAACCTAGCAATTCAAAGTGGATGTAGGTCGTATTAACCGAACCACTATAAATCTTATCTTCTCTCTCCATCGACTTATTGCATTTTATACTACATTACTTGATTAGTGGTGTACAAACTAATTTGTGCATTATCACCTACAATGCACATAATCCAGAAACGTGCCAAGTTAGAAAAGGAAAATTCAAATGTGGGTAGGTATGCACCATTTATTTGGTAGTTATGGGAAGATAATAACAATTTGTTTTTTTTGAAAAAAAAATTCAAATGGGTGGTTACAAATAAATACATGAAAGAAGTAGTTTGTGGCCACATGGCAGGATTTGATTGTGATAAAATAATAAAATAATTCTAAAATCTATTAATTAGGTATTGTATGAGGGAATACCTCTCGATATGTTCACCGAGAATATTACTAATTTCATTGGCTCGAATGGTTACCATGAGTAGTTCTTAATTTTATTTCTTTTTTGAAAAAAAAAATAATGCCTACATTAGAAGAACTAATCAATTTTTTCTTTCATCGCATCTAACATGCTAATATTGGCACTATTGGCACTAATTAATGGTACGTAAATGTAACGAACAACTATTCAGAGTTTCTAAATCTCCTTGTAAGGCTTGTTGGAAATCCAGTTGTCGGACTTCTTTAATCGCCCTTTGTTGTTCAAAATAAATAGTTTCATTTTTGTAATTCTCTAATTGGTCCAAATTCTTATAAGTTGAATTTATCAAATTCTATTTTTCTCGCTCTGTCTCAGAGTATCCGTTCATTCGAAACTACCAAATTTGATTGTTTTATACATATAATATAGATTTCCTTCTCTCTTCCTGTTTTTCCCTCTCTGTGTTTTTATCACTTAAGTATAGGTCACAAAATAACATCTTATCTCATAGTTTGATGACTTCATGGCAGGGTCTGAGAAGGTTCAACCCAAGAAGAAGGTTAGGTTTGCCGAGGACCTGGTGGAGTTGTTGCCGGAGAACAAAGATTCCCGCAAGAAGTATGTGCCGAAGCACGGCCAGTCGAGCCAAGTTGCTGATGAAAAGTTGGAGAACGCCATGCCTCTTAATTGGCAAGTTATGTACAAAGGGATTTTGCAATATAGGGCACTTAAAGGGCACTATTAGCATCCCTTAAATGTTTGTTTTCCAACATCATTGTTCTAGTAGTGGTGGTGGAAGGTGAAAATCTAGGAATGTTAATATAGTGTTTGGATAGTTTTTAGGTTCCATGAATACATGCAAGTTCTTGTATAGCACCTTGTAATTGGAAGAAGTTGCAAAACCAGCAAATTCCCAGATTGTAATAAATAAACTTTATTTGTTTGTGTTTAATGAATTGAGAATTGAGAAATGTTCACATAAACTTAATGTGAATAAAGCTCATTATAATCCAAAGGGGTAGGTCAAGTAGACGAGTTGTAAGCTCAGACCTCATAAATTTGAATTTTATAATCCTTTGGTGTCAGGCCTCGAGGAATTTTATCCATCATAAATAGTCCTGGTGTAGATAGTCTGTCTTTGACTAGATCGAAAATGAGATTAGTTGAGGTATGCGTAAATTAATCTGGACTCCCTTGACCGTTAAACTAAAAAAAAATAAGAAAGCTTATGATAATTGAGAATAATCATGAATTAAGTCACCATACAAGGATAGCAAGTTTGGGCTGATTTTATTAGGGTTGACATCTGGTTTGTCAATGATACGAAACAAATACAAAATTAAATATGGATGGGTTTAGTCTTAATTAGCCCAAATCATATCGAGATTGACCCACTAGACCTTACAGTAAATATAATTGACATGAACCAAACTATACATGACACGAATTCGACCTTTTACGACTCATACACAACACGATCATTTATGGACCGTGTCTAAATTGAGCCAATTTTTTTAACACGATGCGACTTTGACACAAACCATTTCCAATAATAGGTTTAATGATCTCTACACAAGGGAAATTAATTAAAAAAACTGCGAGGTGGTTCAAAGAAAAAAGATGTTGCAAAAGGGAGATACTTTCCCCAATAATGGCAATATTAAGTCAAGAAAGCATCAACAATAACTGTAAGCATGTGGGAGAAATTGAGGAACATAGAAGTTGTATTGCATAGAGAGAGAGGGAGAGAGAGAGAGGCATAAGTGAATTCTGTACCAAGAGGTTTTAGAAATAGAAAAGTTTGGATTGATTGACCAAGCGGATTTAAGGTCAATCAAACAATCTAAGAAACCAAACAAAAAAAAAAGAGTAATATTATTTGGATCTAAAAATTTGACCTAATTTGTTGACATAATGACGTAGTTTTAGTAGAATAATTGGATCAACACTAAGTTTCAATATTTGATGGGTTCTACAATTAATCCAAAGATCATAGTGAATTAGGTTAGCAAATTAGGTTCCAATAGTATTGCTTAAAAAAAAATTAAAAGGAAAATGTTATTTGGACCTAAAAATCTGAAATAATTTGCTAACCTAATGACGTAACTTTATTGGAACTATTGGATTAACACCAAGTTCCAATGTTTGATGGAGTCCACAATCAATTCAAAGATCATAGTAAATTAGGTCAACAAATTAGGTCCTAATAGCATTGCTCAAATTAAAAATGATCAATTAGGTGACAAGAAATGTTATGGTCTACTTAAAACTTCCTAAAAATTTGCAAAAAAACCAAAGGGTTTGAGATTTGGGTACAAAGGACATGATGATGATATATTTGTAGGATTGGTCGGTGGAGTGTATAAAGGGTAAAATGTAAAGGGATGTCAATTGTGTCGTGTTCGTGTGATCCACGTGTCGTATCATAATTATTCGTATTGTGTTCGTGTTAAGACTCACAAAAAAAGATCTATGTAGTGTGTTTTGAGTGTTAAAAATTAGTTTAGACTGTTTAATATGCATATTTAATAATCGTATCAATTTTATAATCGTTCGTGTCGGATACGTATCAACGGATCAAATTTGACACCTCTAAAATGTCAAACTTAATACATCTCATAAAAATAATAATAAATACTTTTGACACTGTGCATCAGTGTTTTCAAACCGCTCGGTGGATTGACCTAGCAAACCGATCCTCCAACCAAGCTGGTTTTAAAATTAGATCGTTTAAATAAATCTCTCGCCCAAAAACCATTCCAACCGGACCACACCGGCTAAAATTTGTGTAACCCACAAAACCTCTCTTTAAACTTGATGGGACATTTTCAGAACACAACAAAATGACGACACGTGTCCTTGACACCGATGAAGCATCCCTGTTATGGTTCTGGCACATGTCGTCGGCGTCCTTAACCCCCCTCCCTCGAGGTAATAAATCTCGGGCCGAGGGACTTCAAGGCGGCGTGGATGACATTTATCCCTTGGCTAAGATTGGCGATATCGGCCCCGATGTGTGTGTTCCCTCGACTTCGAGGTGCATCTACTAGGAATATAGACTCTTTCACTCCTACAAGACATTGATTGACGGGTGACTAGCCTAGGCCAGTCTAGGCTAGGCTAGCCATCATAATAGCACTCTACTCAATGGTGTCAGGAGGCATAAGAACGCAGAACATTTAGCCAAGGAAGGATAGACGTGGCACGCAATGTCAGATCATAAGCAAAAAGACTAGAGTGTCCTTGCTGATACGTGACTTGAGCAATCAAACATTTAATGCATCCTTTTCCTGATGAGACAACATTTAGGGTATGAGGGCCGAGAAGTGAAAGGCATTGAATGCCCCCCATGCTTGGACATTTAATACCCTATCACCGAGGAATGGGCATTGAATACTCGGCAGACTGAGAAGAGAGCATCAAATGCTCGGCGTCCCGAGCAGTTATGACTAAATGCATTTCTCACTAAAGAAAAGGGGCACACTACCTTATCTAATAATTACCTACTAGTTATATTGTCAGCAATGATGAACTTCTGAAAGTATAAATAGTTCTCAAAATTATATTGCAAGGGTACACAAGATCATCTCTCAAGAACCATACAATATTTTCTTCTTTCCTACTCTCACAACAATTGACTTGACTATTAGAGGGGATACGCCGAAAAATACTCCGGTACCCTTCTAACCTATTTTTCTATTTTTCAGGAACCATTTTTAACCTTTCAGGACTAGTCAGGCGACCCATAAAACAATTCATCACCACTTCTTAGACCACCTTTAGCCCTCTCAACCTATTCCAGGCGTTGGGGTTTATCGTTTTTTCGACAGACTCGTATTCATTACGGAAGAGATCTGTTCTCGTATATATTATACAAAAATTTGCACGGACAAAACTCTTACTTAAAAAACGTTAAAACTCAATCATTAATCCATTGGTTCGCCATGACCGAGGAGAGAAAGTACAAGACTATAGAGCTTAGGACATAATGGTGTCAATCGTGTCGTATAACTCACTTGTATCATAATTATTCATGTTGCATTCGTGTCAAAACCAACAAAATAAAAAATTTATTTAATATGTACTAAATATTAAATATTAATTTAAACTATTTACTACACATATTTAATTATCATAATCGTATTAATTTTTCATCCGTTCATGCCCAATTCGTAGAATTTAATATCAACAGATTGAAATTGACATCGACATCTTTATTTGACCACCAACTCTTATAAGACGCTTAGTCCTATTCTGTTCTGTGGTCTTCCGATGTGGGATTCCTTGTTAGCATTACAAATAGTGACAAACTGAATTGGTTCTTCACTTCTTCCTGCCTTGCTTCTTCTTTGATTTTTTTAATACCTTGTGGCATATTTTTGTGTTATTTTTATTATTATTACTAATTATTATTTTTATTAATTATATGATCGGTTCAATTAGTTGACCCACAGCTGAACTCGTAACTTATTGACCCGGTCTCTTAGCCGGATTGATGTCTGAGTTGAGTTGAGTTGAGTCCATTAACTCCCAAAAATTATAAAAAATAACGGAATATAAATTTGGTTTTAATGTATTCAAGCGTATCTGGGTTAACGAGCTTGATAAGTGAGTTGATCTAATTGGATAATACTCCATGTCTAACATAAAAATTTGGGTTAAGTGCACCGGAGGTTCCTAAACTATGAAGTTTGTCTCATTTTGATCTCCAATGTTTCAATTGTATCATTTTGGTCCCTGAAATATTGAATATGCTTTTATATGGTCCCTTAAGCAGACAATGTCCAAATTGTTAATGATTTTTTATGACAAATTTGCCACATGATACTTAAATGTAGATAAAAAAATAATTTAGATAACTCTTAATCAAATTTTTACTCAAATTTTGGTCAAAAGCTACCCATATTACACATTTTTTTGTCAAGAGCTAGCCAAATTTTGTTTAAGAGCTATCAAAATTATTTTTTATTCATATTTAGTTATTACATGACAAGTTTATGATAAAAAATATTAGCAATCTAGACGTTGTCTGTTTGAAGGACCATATAAAAACATATTCAATACTTCAAGGACTAAAATGATGCAATTGAAATATTGGAATCAAAATGAGATAAATCTCATACTTTAGGGACTTCTAGTGCAATTAATCCTAAAGATTTTCTACTTCATTTCAGATTTTCCATGGATTTTGGCACAAGTTTAGTTCTTTATTTATTTTTGTTTTCAACCTCTTCGTTTTTTTATACAATTTAAATGTACCACCAAGTGGCCTTGTAGAGGTTCCATTAACTAAATGAAAAGTTCTAGTTGATGGTTCACTTTCATCAACTGATACATCGCTTTGAGTGCACTAGAGTTCTTATGAGAGTTAAATGACAAGTGTACTAATTTAAACCTAAACGATGAGAAAATAGACTTGTGTCCGAGTAACTTAGAAGCCACTCACACATGTACTACTCAGAATCAAATTTCAACGACTATGTATCTGTTCTTTCCCCTTTCCCAGCTCCTTGTGGTGTAGATTGAATCTAATGCATCATGTAATATTAGTGATAGTGCCTCAAGCAGAAGCTCATCACTACTTATATTACATGTGTTAGATTCAATCTAGACAACAAGGAGCTCGGGAAGGGAAAAGAACTGATACGGCAACAAGTAGTCGTTGAGACTTGATCCTAAATAAATTAAATACGGCAATACGTAGTCATTCCTTTACTATTAATCTTCTTCATGTCTGTATTAACTATCATTATTATTATATTTTTTAGTCTATTTATTATCATTAATAGTTATTTCTTATTATTAAATTAAATAACCAGTTCAATCAATGACCCAATAATTAAATCAATAATTCATTGACCCGTTCTCTTTCCTGAGTTGTTTTCTGAACCGGATTTTAA